GGTCTATGATTCATTTGAAGCTGTGTGACATGTGAGCCATGGGCAAAGTTCATTATTTTTGCACATGAATATGGACTTGTTCCATATAATTTCCAGAAGATACTATCCTTTCTCTACTGGATTGCATTTGTGCCTTTGTCAAAAATCAGTTATGTATATATATATATATATATATATATATATATACACACATATATAACTTTTACACATATATATGTATGTACCTATATGTATAAATTTATTGTTTCATTAATCTACATGTCTGTCTTGATGCCAATATCAAAATGTTTTGGTTGCTGTGACTTTATAATAAGTCTTGAAATCTGAAAGTGTTAGATCTCCAACGTTGTTGTTTCAAAATTATCTGGCTATGGTAAGTCCTTTGTATTTCCAATTGTAAAATTCCACATGAATTTTAGAATCAGCTGGTTACTTTCCACCGTATGCCCACTGGGATTTTGACTGGGATTGCATTAGATTTAGAGGCCAGTCTGGGGAGGATTGACATCTGAGCAATGACCCAGGAACACAGTGTAGCTCTCCGTTTATCTATACCCTCTTTCATTTCTCCCAGCAATGATTTACAGATTTCAGTGCACAGATCTTGAACATCTTTTGCTGTATTTATCCCTAAGTATTTCCTATTTCTGATGCAATTAAAAATAGTTTTGAGTTTCAATTTCCAATTGTTCATTGCTAGTATCTAGAGATATGATTCAGTTTTGTGCAGAATACCCTGAAACCTTGCCAAACTCCGTTTATCACTTCTAGTAGCTTTTTCTGTAGGTTTCCACCAGATTTTCTACGTAGACAATTTTGTTGTCTGTAAAAGCACTTTTACTTCTTCCTTTCCAATTTGGACAACTTTTCTTTTTCTTTCATTATTATAGCAGCAAGGATTCCAGTACAGTATTTCATAGAAGTGGTAAGAATTTCATCATTGTCTTGATCCTGGTCTTAGGGGAAGAACTTTTTGTATGGCATTAGCTTTTAGTTTTTCATAGATACCTTTTATCAGGTTGTGGAGGTTGGTTTTTATCCCTGATTTGTTGAGATTTTTAAGCAGGAATGGGATAACGAGTTTTTTCAAATGCTTTTTCTGTATCTATTGAGGTGATCCTATCTTTATTAATATGGTGAATTGCACTGATGGGTTTTGGAATGTTAAACCAACCTTGCATACTTGAGACAAACCCCAGCTGCTCATTATATATTTTTAAATGTTGTTAAATGTGATTTGACCAATCTTGCTGAGAATTTTTACATCTGTGTTCCCAAGGGATATTAATTGGTAGTGTCTTTTCCTTGTGATGCCCTTGGCTGGTTGTATATGAAGATAAAGCTGGCCTCATATCATAAAATGCATTGGAAAGTAGGCCCTCTTTCTCAATTTTCAAGGAAAGTTTGAGGAGTATTGGTATTATTACTTCTTTAAATATTTGATAAAATTCACTAATGAAGCCATCTGAGCCTGGAGTTTTCTCTGTTGGAAGATTTTTAGCTACAGATTCCATTTCTGTACAAGCTAGGGGCTATTGAGCTATTTCTTCCTGCGTGAGCTTCAGTACTTTCTTTTTGATCCATTTCACCTAAGCTGTCAAATTACTAGCATAATGTTGTTCTTAACATTACCTTATCCTTTCAGTATCTGTAGACTCTAGTGATATCACCTCTCTCGTTCCTGATATTGGTAATCTCTTTTTTTTTCCTGATAAGTCTAAAGGCTTATCAATTGTATTGATCTCCTCAAAAAATAAAAAACAGCTTTTGGTTTCATGGATGTTCTCTATTGTTTTTCTATTTTCCATTTTATTTAGAGCCACTCTGATCTTTTAAGTTTTTTTTCTTTTACTTTGGGTTTAACTTGCTTTTCTTTGTGTACTTTCTTAAGGTGGAGGCCTAAGAGGTCTTCTTTTTGAATATCAGTATTGAGTGCTACAATTTATCCCTTACATACTTCTTTTGCTCCATGCCCAGTGTGGAGCCCAACCCGGGGCTTGAACTCATGACCTTGAGATCAAGACCCTGAGATGAAGAGTCAGAGGTTCAACCAACTGAGCCACCCAGGCACTCCCTTGAAGTACTTCTTTAAAGGCACTTCACAGATTTTTGTATGTCATGTTTTCATTTTTATATAGTACAAAGTACTCTTTACTTCTTTTATTTCTTTTTTGACCTGTGGATTATTTAGAAGTATGTTAATGGGATTTCCAAATATTTGGGGGATTTTCCAGAAATCTTTCTGTTACTGATTTCTAACTTCATTCCATTGTAGTCAGAGAACATGTGTTGTATTTAAATTCTTTTCCCTTTATTGAGACCTGTTTATGGTTTCCTGTGCATTTGAAAAGAAGGTATATTCTGATTTTGAGGGGATAGCAATTTGGTCAAATGAGTTGATGGTGTTCTTTTGGGCCTTCTATACCCTTATGGATTTCTTCTCTTCATGTTCTATCAAAGTATAAAATCAGTCATGGTGGGCAGGTATTTCTACCACAGAGGTTGGCAAACACTACAAATTTGATAGCCTTATTTTTCTCAGCCTGTGGCTAAACATTTGCCAGCACACCACCAGACCCGGTACTCTGTGTTTTGACAAGCTCTGAAGTGATTCTGATGTGCTTAAAGTTGAGACCTGCCCTAAACGTCCCCCGCTGGGTGCTTCCTATGGACTCCTTTGGCATCTTACTACTGTCACTAGAGGAAGAGGAAAGCACCCTACCCTCTCCCCGCTCCCACTCCTACCCAGTGCCTGAGCACAGTGTAGGATCAAAGCTGTGCTCTTGCTGTGTGGAGGCAAGAGGGAATCTGGGTCCCCCAAAGTCAGTTCTGAAATCCCTTGCCGTGGTGGGAGTCACACTGGGATTCACCGAGGGAGAGGAGAGCAGTGGGTCGCTAAGTCACAGGCTGGCTCTCCACGACAGCTTCTTGGTGTCCGCCAGCAGCTGCCATCAAAAATGACAGGCAAAGTGCTCTGGTATCAGACATGGCCCTGTGCCCCTCCCTGGTTTGCCCTTGCCGCAGTGGGACAAGATGCTGCTTGCTCTACTCTCCAACCTCCATCTGCTCGTCCAGGAAGATGAGAATAGTGGTACCTACTGCATGGGGCCTCCGGAAAGGTTAAATCCAATAAGTCAAACAAAGAGGAAGACAGGAAGACAGAACAAGCTCCATAAACAGTACCTATCACTGCTCTTCTATGTAGCTACAGTAAAAAGTAACGTCCCTGTCAACAATGTTACTCCCATTTTATGGATGACACATTTTGAGGCACAGAGGAATAGATCAAAGTGCCCAGAATGACACAGTTACTGAGACAGCAAACCCCAGAGACCATCCCATTAGCCAGTGATGGATTGTGTCCACAGCCTCTCTAATGAGCACATTTCCCCATTTTGGAGCTGCACTCCTAATTTATCCCCAGTAGCTCCAGATTCCCTAGCAAGTAACTGAGTTATCAGTTACAACAATTACTAGCTGGTTCTCTGGTTTATTGCTGTAATTGCTCTAAAGTAAGTCTGTGTGGGCAAAGAAGTTGTCCTGTCTTTACATTGCTTATGTGAGAAAAGGTCTGTCCATGTGTCCCTGCAGCACAAGACCCCAGTGGCCTCGTAAAGGCTCTATTCACCCTGTTAAATGCAGGAATTGCCTGGAAAAGGTAGCATGGGAAGATGAGGGCTCGGTGAGCACACACAGGAGCTGGGAGCTGGAGGTGACATGATCATGCCCCTCACCTGGGCAAATGCAGATACCAGGATGCCTTTACTATAAGCCAGGAACTGCTGTAAGGACTTCCCAGACACTCATTCAATGCTCACAACAGCCCCATAATAATACCCTAATAATAGGTAGTATTATTATTCCTATTTCCTGAAAAAGCATAATTGTGAGGTTGCACAGAGAGGTTAAGCAATTTGTCTGAGGTCACACAGTAAGTGAGCTAGGATTTGAACTCCAACAGTTAGGCTGTAGGAATGGAGTCTAAAATAGGTTTCTCGGGGAGAGAGCCAAAAAATGCATAGTCAGAGCCACATGGGGTCTTAAATGAGCAAATCTGAATATGAACAAAATGAAGAAAAGCCACAGTAGAGATTAGTCCCTAACAGAGAAAGGGAGGCCCTGCCTAGCCCTGTGGATGGGAAAAGGACTGGGGTCAAGGTCATGGTGACAGCATCCCATCTAGAGCAGGACCTCCTGCACAGGAATCTGGTGTCTCAGGGCCCCTGAGAAGTGAGAGTTACCGTCCAGATGTGGAAGCTGAGCACAGTGTAGGATCAAAGAAGAAGAGTTCAGAGAAGTTGAGTGGTCTGCCTGAGGTCACACAGCCCAGACGTGTAAGACTGAGACTGAAGCCCGGCATCCCTGTTCTTACTTACACCCCATGCTCTTTGCCTGCATCATTTAGCCTGATTACCAGATTCCAGCACTGGAGGGTACTGGAATGTACACACAAAGGTGGCCCAGGCACGAGGCATGGTCTGTGCTGGTACCTCCTGTGTGGTAGTTGACTCTGGCTTACGGAATGAATGCCCCCCCTCCAGGGGGCAGAACTGGACTCAAGCATCTGTTGATCCTTTCTCCCACTCCACTTCTGGGACAGTCGCATACCAGAAGCCAGCCTCAGGTGCCAACTCTCCTCTCCCTGACCCTCTACAGCCCCCATCAGGCTGCAGATAGGTGCGCTTGCAAGGGGAGTGAGGGGGTGTTGATGACAGGGCCTCCTTCCCTGCTCCAGATTTGCATTTCCCCACCTTAACCAGGGAGTAACACATCCAGGCAGTCGGGGTCCTGCCTTGGGCTGGGCTCCTGCAACTGTGGCTGTAAACCACAGGGCCCACTCCACTCCACTGGGGATCCCACGCGGGCCCCTCCCAGTACCCCACCTGCATAGTCAGGGCCTGGAAGGCCGCACCCCTGACCCGCGGCCCCACTCTCTCTTTCCAGGAGCTGTTCCCAGTCATCTCATTCCTCCTGAGTTTGTGCCTGTCTCTTTTTTCTAGGGATTTATTTCTCTACAAGGGACCCAAGTGACTGAACTTCTTCCTGGCCCCGAGGACGCAGGGAAGCACCTCTTTGAGATCAGCCCAGGTAGGCCTGAGCATCTTTTGGCTCTATGCTGGCACTGGCACTGGCCCTGGTGGTGCCAATGGGAGTGTCACACACCTCTGGCCCGGAAGGGCAGACCTCCTGTTGGATGCTCCTCCCTACAGGAACACCAGTGTGTCTCCAAGTATTGCTCAGAAATTTGGGCCAAGTCTAGAGAATATTACAAGTTTGAGGGAGTACTAGAAAATCCAATCAGCTGTCTGAGTAATTAGCTTTTGGGTGAGAGGAAAATGTGGATTTTAAAATTCATGATAAACACCAGGGAAACTAGCCAATGGGGACATCTTAGGGCAAAGGTCCAAACACAGCATCTGGATCATATGCAATAAGTCCACTAGTGCAGATACAGAGCATTAAAGTAACCTTTACGGTGAATCTCAAAACAGAGAATTGTGATGTAGCAGGAGGAAGGGAAATATTTTAACCCAACGAACTGCTGTCATGTTAGCAGTTACAAAACCATCTTTTAAAATTCCCAGTTCTAAAATGTGGTTGTTACTGGACTAAATAGATGTGTCTTGAAGATAAGCCAGTGCTTATAGAAGGGAGGGTTCCTCCATCAGGTGATGTTTTTGTACCTTGGCCTTCCCCAAAAGCAGAGCCTGAGACAAGGCTTTGAGCAGTTTATTCAGAGGTGATTCCCAAAAAGTAGGGCGAAGGGAACAGGGAGGGAGGAAAGCCATGCAAGGGGTGCTAGTGAAAGAACTCCTGCAGGGTGAGCCACGGGTTCAATTCCAGCTGGGCCTGTCAAGACTTTGGGGAGCAGGCTGCAGAAGTGTGTGGCCCATGGAGCAAGGAGGCTGGGGGTCACCTACCTGCTTCCACCTACCCACTACTAATTCTACCAGCTGCTTCCTGGGGAGCTAACTCTGGCATCTCTGGCCTGCCCATGGCATGGGCAACCTCCCTACAGACACAGCAGGCTTCAGTCAGGATGACATGGATGGGAACAGTCAGTGCTGAGGCTCTGGACAGAGCAGGGCCCATGGGCAACTAGTCATCACATGCCACCAGTGTGCCATCCAAATTTACATTTCCTTCTGGGAAGTGGTGGCTATGAACAGAGTGTGCCAGCATCTCACTCAGCTCTGTGAGCCAATTGATTTACAGACTCCGAGCAGCACAGCCACCCCAACCAGTCTGACGAGGTGACCTGACTGTCAGCTGCACACCAAGAGATGAATCAGCCCCAGCTCAGGCCAGTCAGCAGTGGCCCATTGAGAGCAGCAGTGAGTGCAGCCAAGCCTGGGGCAGGGGCACATTCACCTTTGCTTTGTCCATACTGGGAGTTCCAGAAGACACAGGCAGAGGGTGGCAGGCAGGAAACTACCCCCTCCCTGCAATTTCATGTCCTGTATGCAAAATGCAAATACCCTGGTTTCATTTGGGTTTTCCTACGTGGGTATTTAATCTACTGCAAGAGCCTTGATACTAAAACTGGATGGTGGAAGGGGACAACAGAGGGGTCCTGGGGTGTGGAGTGGGAAAGAGAGGCTGGGTTGACTCTGAAACAGGACAAAGGCTTCTGCACGGAAGATAGGGCAGAAATGAAGAAGGCAGCGAGGTGGCCAGGGCCCGGCCATCAGCAGGAGGGGGAGCAGCTGGGAAAGGGAGGCTGGGGGTGGGGCCAGGCGCCCTGGGCTTTTGGGAATCAGGGAGGAGTAAGGCCAGGCTGGAAATGAACGGAAGAGGTCAGCACACTCTAGCCATGAATCCCGCAAGGCGCCAAGTGAGTGCCCCAAGGACCAGATGGGAAAAATCACCAGTGTGCATGCTCTGGATCTGGGTCAGAACTATTTACAAGGATTTATTTGACTGGTGGGGGAGGGGAAGGAGACCCATTTGCCATGTAAGGCAACATTCACAGGTCCTGGGGATTAAGATGTGGAGGTCTCTGTGGGGCCGTTATTCTGCCTACCACAATGTGTGAAACATCCCTCTAAGGGAGGAGTACTTTTATGACTATTTTATTTAAAAGTCCCTGGGGGTTAAAAAGGATAAGCAGCTCACCCAGGGACACACAGCTAGAGGGTCGTAGAGAAGCATCTGGGCAAAGAGCTGCTCTGCAGGACCTAGCAGCTGTCCCACCTGGGCACAGGATGGCTCAGAATGCAGTCATGGGCTGGAAAGCTCCCTGCAGCCCTCTATGCTGGGCCAGCAGGGCTCTAAGCACCGGATTCATGCCCACCCCCAGAGACACCCGCCTGCCTTTGCACATGCAGCGCTCCTGAAGGCCTGGGGTGGGGGGGTGTTCGGTGGGGGCAGGGAATGAGGGCAGCAGTGAGGCAGCTCAGAGAAAGCAAGTCGGTGGTGGGCAGAGAGGGAATCAGTCAGACTTTGTGGAGCACTGAGCAGGAAAGGCTCAGTCGTCTCTCTGAGCAAATCATTGTGGCTGCAAAAGGCCATATGGGTGGCGTGTGTGCCCTACCCCATACCCCAGAGGGGAATGCTTGATAACTCTTGGAAATGTAGCAGATTCCAAGTATGGTAATATGTAAGATCAACTACATGAATTTTAAGTTCTAGTTCTATTTTTGTTCTTCAACGGTATAAAAAAATCACAAGTTTGATCAGGATAGAATTAAAAGAGGAAATACAGAGCAGCCTGGGTGGCTCAGTGGTTTAGCACCGCCTTCAGCCCAGGGCGTGACCCTGGCGGTCTGGGATCGAGTCCCGCGTCAGGCTCCCTGCAGGGAGCCTGCTTCTCCCTCTGCCTATGCCTCTGCTTCTCTCTGTGTGTCTTTCATGAGTAAATAAATAAAATCTTTAAAAAAAAAAAAAAAAAAAGGAGGAAATACAAGAGGAAAAAATTCTACTGTGCGCGCCCTCTAGTGGATGGATCTGCCAACTGCATGCCGGGCTCTTCTGCGCCCCAGCTCCATTCAACCATTTCAATCAGGCGGTACTACTGACTGTTGCTGGGCTCCCAAAGTCACTAAGTGGGGGCCTAAGCTTGAGCCACCTCTAAACCAGAATCCCGCTCTCCACTAGCGCTTTTGGCTCCTGGGTCCAGGCCTCAGAAAGGGGCTGGGATTCAAGGACCCTGGGTCTCCTTCCCACCTGGCCTCTTCTCAATTAGTTACTTGGTATGATCTGGTGATTTGGATTAAGATATATCTATAGATAGATAGAGATCGATATTTGGTGTTCACCCTGGTTCTAGGCACAGAGCTCCTAAAACCCTCAGTATTTCCTAAGTGAAGAGAGTGGTAAAGATGTCTTTTGTTCTGTTAACGAAATGACTTGAGGAAAGCCCCTAAGTTATCTAAGGATGGAGACTGGTTGTCAGAGAAAAAACCAGGTCTTTAGAAGATTGGAGCTTTCAGGTCCACCTCCAGGTGGGGCGAGGGGCTGAATATTGAGTTCAATCACCAATGGCCAGTGACTTTTTTTTTTAAGATTTTATTTATTTATTTATGAGAGACACAAAGAGAGAGGCAGAGACACAGGCAGAGGGAGAAGCAGGCTTTCTGTAGAGGGACTCGATCCTGGGACCCCAGGATCATGACCTGAGCCAAAGGCAGATGGTCAACCGCTGAGCCACCCAGGTGCCCCCCAGTGGCCCATGATTCAATACCTATGTAATGAAGCCTCCATAAAAAAATAAAAAATAAAATAAAAAAGGAGAGGGTTTAGAGACCTTCCAAGTTGGTGAACACATGGAGATTTGGGGAGGACAGAGCACCCAAAGAGGGCAAGGAAGCCCTTCTCACATGTCTTACCCTATGCAGCTCTTCCATCTGGCTGTTTCTGAGTTATATCTTTGTATAACCAACCAGTGACCTAGAAACTAAAATATTTTTTAATAAATTAATTTTTATTGGTGTTCAATTTACCAACATACAGAATAACACCCAGTGCTCATCCCGTCAAGTGTCCCCCTCAGTGCCCGTCACCCATTCACCCCCACCCCCCGCCCTCCTCCCCTTCCACCACCCCTAGTTCATTTCCCAGAGTTAGAAGTCTTTATGTTCTGTCTCCCTTTCTGATATTTCCCACACATTTCTTCTCCCTTCCCTTATATTCCCCTTCACTATTATTCATAGTCCCCAAATGAATGAGAACATACACTGTTTGTCCTTCTCCGATTGACTTACTTCACTCAGCATAATACCCTCCAGTTCCATCCACGTTGAAGCAAATGGTGGGTATTTGTCGTTTCTAATGGCTGAGGAATATTCCATTGTATACATAAACCACATCTTCTTTATCCATTCATCTTTCGATGGGCACCGAGGCTCCTTCCACAGTTTGGCTATTGTGGACATGGCTGCTAGAAACATCGGGGTGCAGGTGTCCCGGCATTTCATTGCATCTGAATCTTTGGGGTAAATCCCTAACAGTGCAATTGCTGGGTCGTAGGGCAGGTCTATTTTTAATTCTTTGAGGAACCTCCACACAGTTTTCCAGAGTGGCTGCACCAGTTCACATTCCCACCAACAGTGTAAGAGGGTTCCCTTTTCTCCGCATCCTCTCCAACATTTGTTGTTTCCTGCCTTGTTAATTTTCCCCATTCTCACTGGTGTGAGGTGGTATCTCATTGTGGTTTTGATTTGTATTTCCCTGATGGCCAGTGATGAGGAGCATTTTCTCATGTGCATGTTGGCCACGTCTGTGTTCCTCTGTGAGATTCCTGTTTATGTCTTTTGCCCATTTCATGATTGGATTGTCTGTTTCTTTGCTGTTGAGTTTAATAAGTTCTTTATAGATCTTGGAAACTAGCCCTTTATCTGATATGTTATTTGCAAATATCTTCTCCCATTCTGTAGGTTGTCTTTGAGTTTTGTTGACTGTATCCTTTGCTGTGCAAAAGCTTCTTATCTTGATGAAGTCCCAATAGTTCATTTTTGCTTTTGTTTCTTTTGCTTTCGTGGATGTATCTTGCAAGAAGTTACTGTGGCCAAGTTCAAAAAGGGTGTTGCCTGTGTTCTCCTCTAGGATTTTGATGGAGTCTTGTCTCACATTTAAATCTTTCATCCATT